CTGTGACCTGTCAGAAACTGGAACCTGGCTATATGAGCTATCACAATTCCTACATTCCTTCACTTTTCCTAAGCAGTGGACAGACATTGACTTTTTCCTGCCCACCAGCTCTTTGTCACAGCTCCTCTGTTGAAGGATGCCAACTTCTTGCCATCAAAGCCAGCTTGGTAGTTCATATGAGTTCTTCCTAATCTGCTCCAGGCAAAACTAAGCCAGGTTAGTTTACACGATGTGAAGTGTGGTCTGAGCTAACTGAGGTGGTTTTCCCCGAAAGAGTTTAGGAAATGTTCATGCACTGCTCTGATGTCTGTGCTCTGAGGCTGCAGCATCTGGCTTAGTAAACCACTGAAGTATCCTCTGCCAACATAACTGAGTTCAGAAAAGTGGTCTGCTGCTTCATGCTTTTATAATCAGTGAAGCAGACTTCATCATCATCAGTTATTGATTTTCAGGCTGATCTTCAGCTGGAAGAGTTTAAAACAGCTTCTCATTATGATGAGTGGTTTAAAAATAATGAATATTTAGATATTATTATTTACAAACAAGGTCATTTACATCTTTAGGGTACTACTGTATTTGCATTAGCATTACTTTACTAAGAGATCTTTCTGCTTCAAATCAAAATGTTGATACTGTTGGTTCCTCTCTGCATGAAGTCCTCCTCATTAACTGAAGATCTTTACTGAATACATTTAAAATTAGGAAAGAATTTTCAAAAATCCCATTATAAATGAAGTAAGAATTCTCACTGACTTTTGTGGACCAAGTATATAATGCAGAATTGATCTGATGATCACAAATTTGAAAAAAATTGATGAAAGATTGCAGTAATTTCCTATAACACTATAAAGTCCAGGATATTACAATCATATTTTATAGAATATTTATGGATAGTAAACTACATAAATAAATGCAAAAAAGAGTATTTAGTATACCATAACCACCATTTTATTCCTCATTTTTGGAAGTGAAATATCTCCTGTGCCACAGTTTAAAAACTGACTTCCACAAACCTTTACCTTTATACAAAAGATACGCATTTAAGTACTAAAATGGGGTTTGGTCCATTTCTACTCAGTATTTTGTCTTTTCTTGCCCCACTGTTCTTCAATGAACAGCTACCAGGGCAAAGACAACAAAGGAATGTAAAACAGCAAAGTAGCTCATGGTTCTGCAACATTGATCCTTAGTATTGCTGGTATAAGCCACATCTTTAATAGCACCAATATGAACTGTGCATAACATCATGTGAATTTTCATCAAACAGAACATGAACTTTTATAAGAATAAAGGCATACATACTTATCCTTTGTCCACAGAAAAGTATTTTGATATTTGCTTTTTCATGTGAGATTAATCTCTACCTGTGACTAATGGAACTCAGTAGTACATGAGTCAACACTGTGCTAAGTATGTTGGATATTTTTTAATTAATTCTTTTGAATGCCTTCGTAGTTTTATTACCAGTTAATAATATGCAAGACAATACATCTACTTGAAATTTTACCAGGTCATGTAAGATACAGTTCAATAGAGTACCTTTTACAGTAATTCATCTCACACGGTATTTGTTTCCCTTCCTAGTAATTTCAAAGTCATTAACTACTATTAGACTTATTTTTATGAAATTCAGACCATGAAGAGGCTTTTTTGGCATAACGAAAAAGAAAAATTTAATCCCTACTTTCCTGTAAATACATAGGGCCTATTGGGAGAGAAGTATGGGAACATACGAATACCAGGGGAAGTTGAATCGTCAGAATTTGAAATGATCCTGGATGCTGCTGTAGAGGCCAAGCTAGAGACAAGGATTTTAGAAGAGTGGTACTGCAGGGATGAGAATGCAGTGCCACCAGCATATTACCTCAGACCAAAATCTGAAATGCTGAAGAACTACCAGAATACGGTAAGTCATAGTCACCTGCTCAACAAAATTCTTCTCTGTCAGTTAGTGCCAGGGAGTCCCCAAGGCCAGACACTTGCTGCTGTCTCTGAATTGGCTTCTACAGTGCTGTCCACACCTGAGCAACTGCTGCTGTGATGCTCCTTTCCCATGCATGGTGAAGGGAGCAGCCGCAAAACACCAAGGAACTTGACTCCTGCATCTGATAACAGCTAGAGGAAGGGGACTGTTGTCATCCATGACCTACTGGGGCTAGTGAGACAGCTGTACAGATTTCTCTTTCCTTCCCTGATGTTGTAACAGGGAAAGCTCAGGCTCTTCTACTTAGTATTGTGCTTTTGCTAGATTTCAATGAACAGGACTTGCAGAGGAATTTTCCCTTCTATCCCCATAGAAGAGAACTCTCTAATAAGTGCTTAGCATGTCTTGAGTTAGGTGTCATACTTTTAACTTATTAACTGTATTATAAGATTTTGGAACACTGTTAATTATTATTTTTAAAACAGGCATTTGCCTTTAATTGATGACAACAAAAACTGTATATTATCATGGCTCAATTCTATCCTCCTACACATCCAATATAACAAAGGACAGATTTTAGTGTACAAAAAATGAAGTCCTTAAAGGAGTTTTCACTTCACTTTGAATGCATACTGTATTATTGGTTTGGGAGTTTTTATTAATCTTTTATACCTTTCTTCAAACTACTGATACATAGGACTAGATAAAAAAATGTTATAACTTAAAGCTGTAACTTAAAGGTGTGGCATAGATGTAACATAACTTAAAGGTGTAACACAGACTTACATCTCATAAACTTACAGAAAGGAATAAAATACACACAGCTGTTAATATGTCAAGAAAGAGTTGCTAGGGAGCTTGTCCTGGAGGTTGTTCTTTTTCCTGTTACACCCTCCAGGAAAACTGGAGACCCCTTAAAGATTTCATCTGTAGTAAGTAAAGCCCAACTTCCTTAGAGAAACCTCCATCATGGCATTTGCAAGATACCATCTGAAAGGATTAGTGAATTTATATTAGAGTTCCTCTCTGATGACAGTAAGATTACTGTTACTATAGCAATGAATGAATGAAAGTAATGTCACATATGATCTTGTATTTTTAAAATATGCTAGCTAATATTCGAGTTTAAATTATTACCATTATTACTTCTCATTAAAGGAGTGATAATTTTAGCAGTATTACTGTGGCTTTATTATTTCAGGCTTGGTTTTCAAAATCCTCTTTCTATAAAGGTATTATTGGCCTTATTCTTGAAAAATATTGCATTAGCTGCCTACACTAGGAATTCACAAAATACTCCAAGTAGCTACATTATGATCACCTTCAGTATAAAAAGTTTAACCCTTATTTATTTTTTTAAGTGTATGTGTTTCTCTGTTACTATGTTATTTTTGACCTTGAATATTAGACTGTTACTTTCTGAAGTTGTAGATATGTGTATTATACCTACTGTTTAACTGTGGATATTTTTAAAAGATGGAATCTTCTCCAAACTCTATGAATGAGAACAAATGGCAAGATATATCAGAAGAGATTAAGAAGATTTTTAAGACTGCTGTGAAATTGCTGTATGAGAAAGGAAAAATGAAACATAGCCAAGCAAAGAGATATCTTTCCTCTGGTAAAGTTCCTACTAACAATTTTTATGTTATCCATTTATTGTCTTTTCTGTCAACCTTTCCTCAAACATGAAGATATATTTCTGTTGGCATTTCTCATATAATTAAAGAAAGGGGAAAAAAAGGTTTGTTATGTTTGCTTGAGACTAAAACCCATAGAAAAGCACCCAGCAAATTTTCCATTTTTTTAGTTTTTTACAAACAGATGCAATCATTTAAGAGTCTGCCTGTTGGGGGTAAGGCATGTTTATAAAGAAAAGTTAACAGAGACTCTGTGTTCTTTTCATCCTCAGCTATTGAAGATGAACTTGATTTTGCCTTGGGTAAACAAACACCAGCTTTCCTAAAGAAGTGTGTTTGCTACATTCGGAAAATTGCCAACATTGAGCGCTTCGTTAAAATTCCAGAGATGGGAAAATACATGGATGTGGTACATACAGCAGGGAAGTTTCTACGAGATCCTGAAGCCCATGAGAAACTAATCAAACTCAGGGACGAATTCATTCCTACCATTGTTGCATCGTCCAATCTGAGAGTGTACACATCCGTCACTCACTGTGACATGAAACTGGGCTACTCCCAAGAAGTGGAGAACCATTACATTGAAGGACTTGGTAAACAGTTCTATGAAGACATGATTGATATAATCCAAGCTACAGTGCAGCAGAATTTTGACACGGAGACAGACACACTGTATGATGAAGTTCTTCAACACTCATCGCTGTGTAAAACATACTCCACTTTTTATGAATATAGATGTGAGGCATTAAACATAGTTCACAAGTATGTTTTACCTAGCAAAATAGGACACATTAACCCTCTTATCATATATGGAGGACCATGCACAGGGAAGACTCTTCTATTAGCTGAAGCGGCAAAGAAGGTAAATAAATACCTTACATAATAATGTCATGTTGGGAGTATTACTGTGTGTAAAGGCCAACTTTGTTTTCATTCCTCCTTTTGTCAACAGATCAGATATCAGCCCTCAATATATAAAATAAAAATAATAAAAGGTATATTCAGCATATTATTGTACACATATGCAGAAAAATAGTTACCTTCCGATAATAACATATCTGTATCATGTGCTTAGCCAAAACAAAAAAAGGTTAACAGAGCTCTTAGAAGCCTAATAGGAATCAATATATTTTGAATTAACAATGGGTATTGTAGAATGATCTCTCCCTCTTGTTCCACTGAGGTCCTATGAATCTGCAACCATCTAAACATCATGTGCTGGTTTTAGTCTTAAACACAAATGCAGTATTTCTTTCCAAGTCATGCCATTTCATGTTCTCATCAGAAATTATTCCAGAATTAGTCTAATACACTTGCTACAAATCTATCTGAAATAATCTGCAAAAATACGTGTACTTATTTATCTGACATATGCTGTTTAAGTCACTGAGCTGATTACTACAGGTAAATGAATGAAACACTTTGTGCCAGGGGGGACCAGATGCAGAAAAAGACCAAGCTGGCATCTCTAAGCCTAATTCTTCAGCTGGGAGTCACAACTTTGAGTTCTGTGCAGGGTGGTCAGAGAATTTAGCATAGTGGGCTAGGAAACAGCCATATCAGGCAGAAAGAAATGGAGAAGGGAACAATACTGTTTATAATGTATCTGCTTCCTATAGAGTGACATT